CAGAGGATGCAAAAAAATCCTCAAATGGAAAGAGAGAAAGTAGCAGGAATATAATCAGATCTTAGGTTTGGCCCTCTTTAATACCTGTCATTTCTCTTTATTAGCACAGCTAATTCACTGCTGTGCTTTGGAACATCCTCTGACTGAGTTAGCGGTGTAGTGTTAAGTACCCTTCAGGATAAAAACTATGTAACTGACAACTGACTGGGTTGCTATGTGATGTTTAGTTAAGACTCCTCAACCCAGGGCAAATTTGATGCTGACATGATTGTTATCAAATGTTCTTATCTTAAGGAAAAGGCAAGGTGGTGTAAAGGCTTCTGTCCTAGATTGACCTTTTTTGTTGGTTTTTCCCTGAGTAAAATTTTAAAAATTAGTGTGGTGATTTTAAACTGTTAGGAACTGGGAAATCTTTATGCATTGCTTTTGTTTATAAAAATCACTACTCAGTCAGGAAAAGGCCTAAATCACAAGTATCTGAAGTGACATCACTTTTGCTGAGGGATCCATGCTAGACTTTGTCAAAGTCCAGGGGTTTATAGATCATTATTAGGAAACCACTTATTAGATAATAACCTGGGTCCATAGGAATGAACAAATATTACTCTATATTTAAAGATAATTATGCCAAAAAACTCAGGCATCCATTCTGTAAATAGTCAAAGGGCCAACAAGCATTGTGATAATTTTACAGAAACAGAAAAGCAAAAATTACAAATGAATGACCTTCGTTTTAGTATAAGACAAGAGATACCCTTACCAATGAGGCTATATTCCACTCTTGAAACAATCATTTATACTCATAGGTAAAGGAAAATTCATAGCTTTCAGGATGTGTTATGTCTGTATGTATAGATATAAAATGATAGGATAACTTTTTAAATGCTAAGTAAAACAATTGTTTATTGTAAAATTGGTGACATTGAAAAACCAGCTGGTGCTGACAAAAAGCTAAGACTCTATGATCTAACAATGTTGTTTGCCTACCACCTTCAACCGAAAGAATGAAGCCATTTAGAATTTATCCCAATGGTTATCATGACATCTACAATAGTAAATCCTCAGGTCCTTAGTACTTCCTCAAGTAGAGGAAGGGTAGAAGAATAAGGAGAAAATAAGTAATTATAATTTTAATGGCTTTCTCTTGAAGGGTAATGAGTGACTTTTTTATATTAGGCGATCCCATGATCTCATGTTTTAAAAATAATATCCAGGGGAGAAGAGATTTTTGTCTCAAGCTCTAATTCCTAAGGAGGTCCTGGTAGGAGAGAAATTTCCACTTGACTTGTTTGATCCATCACATTGGAATTCTTGTTAAAGCATTTCAGTATCTAAGATTCCCCTATTTTAGTAGTTCCATAATGATGTATGTATAACATTGTAAACACAACCTAAGCATTACAAGAAAAGCTGTGCATGACTGTCTTGGATTCACAATTTACATTTCAGGCAAGGAGAGGCTATTTTTTGATAATGCCATTTGTTTCTTTCTTAGAAATATTATATAAAACCATCTCTCCTCATGGTTTAACAATATATTTCTGCCCAGAGAGCACTGCAGATTAATCTTAATCTAATGTCCTTGGCTCCCAAAAATATGACTCATGAGATAAATTTAGCCATTTAAAATATTTTAAATTACAGCTTAATTTAGAGTTTTGGTCAATGAAATATGAACATCTAAGATGATGGCATGAAATAATTCATCAGTTTCAATTAGCTTTATGAAAAAAACAAGCAGTGCTAATTTTCTTATGTGTATATTTTTACATGGGAAATCTTTATACGTGTTAGCATTTAGGTCAAGTCTATTTACTCCAAAATGAAAACAAAAATACAAATTCCATAAAAATTTCTTAAACACAAGAACAAGAAAATTCAAATATAAAAGAGCACAAAGAAACAATACTTAAGAGATAATACACAAGATGATTCAGAGATGCTCTGTGCTGTCTCAGGAGTATTGTAAATTTTATTTCTTTTTCACAATTTATTAAAGGCCAGAGCCAGGGAAGGGGAGAGAGCCAGACGGAGACAGAGAGATGACTCATGGGAAATTCGACAACGTGCATTTTACTTAACGTAAGCTGCAAAAGTCCAAGGGAGAATAGGCAAATAAACACCTGAAATAAAAACAAGTTGTTTCTGGCTTAGATAACCCAGTAGTGACAAACTGGCATTGAAACTTCCTAAAATCAAGAGAAAACAAAAGCAAACACAGTTTGTCTAACAAAACAAACACATTTCATCTTAAGGAGATAACCTTTTATTGTACTAAGAAAAGAAATATCTTCTTTTAGAAATCTATATTGTCAGCCAAACTTTCTCCATGCTAACATCTAGGTAACTGCCATCTGTATTCTCTTGATCACTATGGAATTTACATGAGATATCAACCCCCAGAAGATTGCCCTGTAGCCTGACTCCATGGCAATGTGCGTGGCCTGGGGATAGAGACAATCCAACTCTACATAGAAGTTCAAGTAGGTTACTCAAAGATTATATCTTCTTTTAGAAATCTTATATTGTCAGCCAAACTTTCTCCATGCTAACGTCTAGGTAACTGCCATCTGTATTCTCTTGATCACTAGGGAATTTACATGAGATATCAACCCCCAGAAGATTGCCCTGTAGCCTGACTCCATGGCAATGTGCTTGGCCTGGGGATAGAGACAATCCAACTCTACATAGAAGTTCAAGTAGGTTACTCAAAGATTAGTGAATTTCTCTGTATGCAAGTAAACTGTTTTGACCAGGTCAATTAAGAAGTCAGTCAGTTTCTTTTGAGGGAGAGGGAATAGAGCTCCTCAGCCTAAGAGTGAAGGGGCTGTTTTACCATGAGCTAAGAGGGCAGGAACCAAGTCACTGTCATTTCATTACATATAACACTTTTGTGTCCATATATATTAAAAGATACTTATAACTTCTATTTTTGAAAACAAACTAAGATCAATAGGCAAACCTAAGCAAGGAAGCAGTTCAAGCAAGTAAATAAAAGATGTATACTGTCAGATGAGACTTCAAAGTGGTCCTTGAGATATTAGGGACAAAGAAATATCAAGGAAAGATAAATGTACCCCAAGATCCAGGCAAGGTTAAGCTCAAATTTGGCTCTGATCCCACTGAGAATGAGCCTATTGGCACAAACCCTGAGACACACCTGATTCAAGAATAAAAAGAGGTACATCTTGCCAAAAAGGAACATTAAGAAAGTTGTTTTTAAGAAGCACAAGGGGAAAGACTCTTCAATTACCAGTTCTGTTTTTATTAATAGCATAATTCATGTCCCTGTGGGCTTGTTATGGGGCCTTCCAAAAATACATCTTTGCAAATTTTATTTCCCAAAGCACTATATAATAAAATGCTATCATTTGAGGAAAGAAGAGAAAGTGATCCAATAGTAAACATATAATAGAGCATACCAAGTATTAAAAACATCAAATTTCAATATAATTCACAAAACTGTATTTTTCTTTTGCAAGCAAACGGTGTTAAATTATGCCCTCAAATTATATTATCCTCAGTTGAGACTTGATATGGTCATCTTATTACTACTGATGACCTTGAGATTGGCCCTGGATTTTCACAGCTAGCTTCCTTATCCCAGTTCAATACTACCAAGTGAGAAGAATGTTCCCACCCTATCTATGCCGTGTGCACTCTGCAATGGCCACCACTCAAAGGCTTTCACATGGCCAGCCTGTGCTCTCTCCTGCCAACCTGTGGGTGGACACGGTAGAGTTGTTGAGCAGGGGTGCCTAATTTTAGAAACCAAGGAGCTAAAAGTATTGGTTCACATCCTTATGCAGGCAGAAACCAAACAAACACCAAGGTAACTCTCTTTGCTATAACCACACTATAAACAGCAAATAAGGAATGAAGAGAAACCCAGGTCATGAAATGGTGCATCATCAATTTGAAGCCACCTCTGGCATGAATATTTAAAAGTTTACCCCACATGATCATCATAAATTGCTAGCCTCCCATTTCCCATATAGTATCTAAAACAAATGGAGCAAACAGTCCTGGCTAAATCATAGTGTGTGAGAGGCAAAGAATGTGCCTGAGCTTGTTAGGCGTCCTGGAAGAACAGTGGCATGTCACCATCGATGGCATGCCGTTCTCAAATGTTCCACAGGACCTGGCCTCCTGTCCCTGCCTCATGCCATGCCACTTTCTTCCTCTGCTCTGTGCACACCCGGTCCAGTGACATGGCTGAAATCCTTCAAATAAACCATTTCCTATTCCTGGAATGCTCCCCCCTCACCCCCCACACAGCTTAAAAGTCAATTTTCCAGTGATTATTTCCCTGAGTAGATCCAATCCCTTTCCCCCTGTCTCCAAAACAAGTCAGAAGCTTTACATCTTCTTCCTATACTTGTCACAAATGTAACTAACAATTATTTGTTAGTTATTTTTTAAATGTAGGTCCTTCCCCTGTAAGTTCCATGGATGCAGGACAGGGACAGTTTCTGTCTTCTTTTGCTGTTCCCAGTACCAAGGCCAGTGCCTGGCACTGCACGAATATTTGTAAAGGAATAAATAATAAATATCATAATATAATTAATATAACACAATGTAATTCTTCAACCCTTCAACACATTTCAAAATAGTTATTATGGTCCACATCTTACAGATGAGAAAAGTAAGTGTCAGAGAATTTCACTCAAGTTCACACAGCTGGTAGAAAATGGAAGAACCCAGACCTAAGGAACTTCCTGATGCTAAAACCAAAGTTTTAAGATCAAATCAGTTTATCACATCAGTGCGTGGCCCTCAAAGAGCAATCTAGCAGCTCCCTGTCTTCAAGGGAACTTGATGATGAGAAAAATTAAGGCTAGAACTGTTCATGTTCTCTCCCGACACAAACTGACTTATTTATACTGATTTCCTGCAGCTGGGAAAATGAGTTGCTTACAATGACCATGGCACATGGAAAGAATTGTTCAAGTGCCTTCTTGAGCATAAATAAAACAGATGTGAAGTAAAAAGACACTTACCATAATTCCAGTAAGCAAACAGACTCCTTTCCCACAGTATGTGTTAGGTACCATGTCACCATAACCAATGGAGAGAAAAGTTATTGATATCAACCACATTGCTCCGAGGCATGTAATGTTTTAATACACAGACAATCTTTGGCTGAAGCAGTTATATTCTTCACTCTCTCTGTATCAGCAAAGCATCCTTAAACACTTAGTTTCTAGACACTTAGAAAATGTGCCTGAAATGCGCAATGAAAAATATTTCCTGGAACATTTAGGCAAGCTAACTCTTCAGTTGCTTACCTTTAATAAATATTAAAGGTAATAAACAAGTTTTAAATATATAAATAAATTGCTCCCATTCTCGTGTGACTCTTAGCCAAACACTCTCAAGCATTATGGCATTACATCGTTCAGTCAATATTTATGATACGCTATGCATGTTACACTGCATCAGAGATTGTAATTCTGTAAGAAGGGCCCTAATTAGAAAAAGATATCTTCCTAGAAGTTAGTATTTTAGGGCTTATAATTCAATGGTAAATTATCCTATTTGCTTATGAAATAATAGATCTGCCTGAAAACCAGCTCAGAATGGAAAAAATAACATCTTATACTAATGTTTATGTTACATTCAGACATACTTAGTTGTGAATAGTCAAGATGAGGTAATTAAGGACCAAATTAGATACTATTAGACTAATCACCTGACTTCTTTCTTGGCAACTCAAGAAACAAATATTAGACTTACGACCAGGATGACATTATCACTTCGAACACCCCCAGGCTTTGAAGCTATGCCAGATCCACACCATTGTGAATGATTAATATGCACAATTTAAGGTTAAAAAAATTTAAAAACATTTCTTATAGTACAAGTTCATTTCATAGGCTTACTCAAACAGTTCCAACCTTCTCCACTAGGAGAGTTGTTCTGATAGAGACATGAAGAAATGACTCACCTGGTAAATTTCAAGGTTTGATCAATATGAATGATGGCTTAGTCAAAAATACATTAAATAAGATTAAAATTAGGGCAAAGACGCCTGATGATCTCAAGCTTTGACAATAAAGATTTTGGGGTTTTGGCAGAGGACTACTTGAAGTGTTTTACATGGACTTAAAAGACTGAAATCAGCTTTAAGTTTTTAAAAAAGCAAAATATTCCTTTTCTTAGTTTCCATTCCTTATTCATTTCTTCATTCATTGCTGACTTTGAGTCTAGCACTGTTTCTTAGATCACAATTACAGCTTTCTGTAAAATTTGTTAAAGTTCACAGGGGTTATCTTTCTAAGAGAATCATTGAATTCCTCCTCCTGATGAGGCAGCCTCCACCCAGCACTCCCCCCACCTCTGAGCATCCTCCGCACTAATGGCTGTCCTCTTCCACAGCTCTTCTTTCTGCAGATGTATTTCCTTCTGTCTGCAAACAACTTCTCCCATCTTTCCAGCTCTGATTTGTACTTTGAGAATGTGTTTTTGGGTTCCCTCCTCCAAACTGTATATAGCTTTTGGTTAGCATGGTATTCTAGGTTGGTCCTTTCTCTGTATCCCCAAAGCATCATGTAGATATCTCCATTAGATAAATGTTAGCCTGGGTCATAGACATGTAATGTATTATCTGCTCATCTAACATACCCTTAGAATCATAATTATGAGGAATTTGAAGACAAAGACTATTTATTCCTTATTCATTGTATCATCACATAGTACTTTGAAAAATATTGCAGGTAGCAGGTGTTTACTGAATTAATTACTGTGACAATATAAAATGTGTCCTAACTTGACTTGCCCTAGGCCACATGCCAGGTTTTCAATATTAAATATGTAGAGATACAAAAAGGGGACAGCAATGATTCTTGCTCATTGTCAACGTGAATCAGATCTGTCATGTTATGTTCCAAGATCTGTGTGCAACTAAGGTATTTTACACCTGTAAAAAATAATTCAATAGTACAGGTTAACAGCTGACAACTATGTTCACTAATTCTTCATTATTAAACTTACTATTAATACTAGAAATAAAAAAATATCTCAAATGTCAGCTCTGATCTCAAATGTCAGCCTTAGTTATACAGTAAAAAGTATTACAGAGATTTAAATCCATGTGATCAATGGACCATCAGTTCTCTTCTCTTCAATCCACCTCTTTCTCCTGAAATACCACTAAAATGACAGTAAGACTGTATATACACACACACACACACACACACACAAATATATATGTAAAAAAATCACACACACACACACACACACACACACACAAATATATATGTAAAAAAATGTATAAACCCACAAGATCAAAAGAAAAGAAAAGGAGACATCAGAGAACAAGACAAAAGAAAAGAAAAGGAGACATCAGAGAACAAGAAATAACTCTTATATTAATAAACACACATCTTGCTTTCAGCTGAGATGGAACAGCAGGGGACTGGATTTATACTTTCTCCTGAAACAACTAGAAAAACAAATAAAATATTGAAACAATGGTTAAGAAGACAAAAGAAATTTCTGCGAGATGGTAAACAACTAAGATGACCCATACAGTTGCCGCAGTTTTAATGCCTAAACAGAATCTCCAGGACACAACTCAGGGAAAGAAATCAGGCAGAGCCCAGAGGTCTCCCTGTGTTGAAGAACAGGGCTGGGAATCCAAGGAGACCTAGAACTCAGAGGACTGAAAACCAGAGAGGAGAGATCTTCACAGAGAGAGATCCTGAGATCTGCAAAGGGGTCTCCTTGATTATTCAGCTGAGTACTGATAGGTACTTGCTGATAAAACTACTGAAGGCCAGAGAAGTGCAAGTGCTATATGTAAAGAGATACAGCATCACTTGAAGATAGACTGTAGTAAATGGTATAACAGCAGATGAAGGTAAGACTGCTAACTTAACTATAGTATACCTAAGTGCATGCTATAAACCCTAAAGGAACCATGAAAATAGCACATCAAAGAATAACAACTGATGACCCAGTAAAGGATATAAGATTGAATAAGTTATAATAATAAGTAACCCAAAAGGAGGCAGAAATAAAATGAAAAAGCAACAAAGAACAGATGGGATAAATAGAAAATAGCAAGAGGACAGATTTACACAAGCATTAAATGTAAATAGCCTAGGTATCCTCAATTAAAAGGCACAGATTTTCATTAAACTCATGAAAATTTCATAACTTGGAGAAATCAGGTGTCACACAATAGGTAAAGTACAAATCTGAAAATAGAACATTAAAGCTAAGCACAAGGGTACTTCAACAAGTACATGGAAAAATAGCATTAAATGATAATAGGAACTTTTACATGAACTTTTTGAAGACCTGTCATATATGGAATAATGGATCCCCAGGTACCTGCCCTTCCTGGTACTGCCAGACAACAGGAGATAGAAGGTTTATTTTCTGGGGAGAAACAGGAGACTGAGAGACTCATGGCCCAACTAAAGGCAGAAGAGATGTTTGGAGCTGAAAACATGAGGATTAAGTTCAAGTTTCTAAACTGAACAGTGACATTTCTAGTTTCCTAGCTCCACTCCTTATCCCTGAATTCATTAATACAGAGAAAGAATATTTTTCTCTGAAGAAGCAGACAGCTTCAGAGAAAAGACATTCATGTGTTAACATCAAGGATTCCCTAATGAAAAACTTAGCTTTCACCCTACGGTGAGTTTCACCAGAGAGTGAGCCTTGTCCTCATACAGAGCTTCCAATGGGCTTCCAATTCTCACTCCCGAATATAAAAGAATGGCAAATGATCGGCACACATTTGAAGAGTATGCTTTCTGTAGAAAAGATAGAGACAAAAAAAAAAAAGAAAGAAAGAAAGGAGAAAAAAGCTTAAAAGAAAAAAAGCTTAGAAAGACAGCTCCAAATCTGACTTGCTCTTTACTGTTCTTAGGACTCAGTCTAAATGATGTATATTTTGCTGTGTGTTTTTGGTCCTGTTCTAATTTGTCTTTTGAATAAGGCTAAACACTATAATCCTGAACTGACAATTGTCCTACCATTGATTTCCTGCTTTTCCTCAAGCTGACACGTTTAGGCAAAGACCATTTTTTCAATTCCTTTTATGGGTCTGACAAAACTTTTTCCAAACAGGATTATAAACAAAGCTTACATTTTAACAGGAGGATAGATGATGAATTATGTAAATCATTGGGTCATGATTTAATATTAGCTATTTGGGTAACATTGTTTCAGTTTAATTTGGCTTTGTCTTCATATAAGCATTAAAGAATTCCGTAGCCCTATATAACTTAAATTGTTTCCAATTTTTACTGTTTTCTGAATACTTATATTGTGCCAGGCATTAATATATTTCATTCTTACAACAACTTTGTAAGGTTTAATGGTATGATCCTATATTATGATTAGTAAGTGAAGCTTCCAAAGAATAAGTAATGTGCCAAAGATCACATACGATGTGGAATTTGAACCAAGGTTTGATGTTCAAACTTCACGTTCAAATTTCATGTTCTTAAAAAATAATAAGCTATATTGCTTAAGAATAAAATTATAATTGTATCTGTAATGTAAACATAACAGAAAGGTTTTATCTCTGCAGCCATTGTGATGTGTTGATTATACATAAGTATATACCTAATGAGCTCAGAACCATAAACATTCTAAAGCCATTGACTGTCAACCTATTAATTGCATTTGACATCCTAATTTATATTGCAGAATTAATTTGTTTTCCTTATACTTTTAATAGATATTGCTAAGATTACCTCTTTACTTGCTGATCATATTGCTAAACAATATGCATTGGGGATACAGTAACATAAAATAATGATCTTAAGGCCTGTCATGAGAGACAGGAGTTGAAATATTCCTGCTGATGATTTGAAAAGGAATTTCTTAAGGCTAGGTCTTTTTTAAAGTGTGAAAGCAAGATAACATTTCTGTTTTTAATATTATCTTGAAACTCTATAATACCCACAATTTTCATAGTTTATAGTGTTATCATTCTTGCTGGATACACACAAAAGCTTGTTGAAAACTCATAGCCTCCTCAAAATCATAAACTTGCAGATTTGCTTGTCTTAGGGAGGAGGTTGCTGATTTAATTTTAGTTGTATTTAGCAATTCTGATAATGTTATTCAATGGAAGCATTTCTTC